TTAAAAAATGGGTGAAGGCCTTGGCCACTTCTTCCAAGAAAACATACAAATGACCAACAGACACATGAAAAAATGCTCAATGTCATAAGGGAAATACAAATCAAAATCATAATGAGATACTACTTCATCTACTTCATAGCCGTTAGGATGGCTATAATTTTTTTAAAAGACAGAAGACAAGTTTTCGTGAAGATGTGGAGAAACTGGAACCTTCGGGCTTTGCTGGTAGGAATATAAAATGGTATAGCTTCCATGGAAAACAGTTCAGCAGTTCCTCAAAAAGTTAAACATAGAGTTACCAGATAACTTAGCAATTGCACTCCCCAAAGAATTAAAAACAGGGACTCAAACATGCCCATCTTCACAGCTGCATTACTCACAATAGCCAAAAGGTGGAAACAATCCAAGTGCCCAGCAATAGATGAACAAAATGTGGTATACACTGTACACATAATGGAATATTACTCAGCCACAAAAAGGAAGTTCTGATACATGCTATAACATGGATGAACCTTGAAAACATGCTAAACACAAAAGGACAAGGCAAATTTGTAGACACAGCAAGTAGAGGATACCAGGGGCTAGCCAGAGAGGATAGTGGGGAATTACTGTTTAATGGGTAGATTTTATGTTTTAGATGAAAAAGTTTTGGAAATAGATGGTTGTGATGGTAGCAATATTGTGAATATAATTAATGCCACTAAATTGCACACTTAAAAACAGTTAAAAGGTAAATTTTATATGTTATTTTACAACAAAAAAGGAAAACAAAAATAGAAGTTTGACCTAGCATTTCTACTCCAAAAGAAATGAATATACATCCATACAAAAACTTGTACATGAATATTCTAGCAGTATTATTCATAATAGCCAAAAAGTACAAACAACCCAAATGTCCATCAACAGAAGAATGGCCAAATAAAATGTAGTGTGAAATGAAATATTATTCAGCAACAAAAAGGAATGAAATACTGCATATGCTACAACATGGATGAATCTCAACATGCTAAGTGAAAGCCAGACACAAAAGGCCATATATGGTATTATTCTGTTTATATAAAATGTCCAGAATAGGCAAATCCACAGAGACAGAAAGATTAGAGGTTGCCTAAGGTTGCAGGAGCGGCTCCTAATGAGTAGAGAGCATCTTTTTGGGGCGATGAACATGTTCTTAAACAGTAGTGATGGTTGCACCACACTGTGAGTACACTAAGTGCCATTGTGAGTTTATTAAATGTGTACTTTAAAAGGGTGAATTTTGAGGTATGTGAATTATATCTCAGTAAAGCCATTATAGGGCAGAAGAAAACGAGAAAAGAAAAAGAAAACCTTCCAGAAAGTCCAACAAAAAGACATGAGGAAGAAAAGGTGAGAGCCTGAGGATCCACCCAGCAGGTACAGCAACTGACTGACAGAAATTCCAGAGCCAGACGACAGAACAAATACAAGTGAGAAAATTACTTTTAAAAATTAATACAAGGTGGCCAGGCACAGTGGCTCACAGCTGTAATCTCAGCATTCTGGGAGGCCGAGCCAGGCGGATTATCTGAGGTCAGGAGTTCGAGACCAGCCTGGCCAACATGGTGAAACCCCATCTCTACTAAAAATACAAAAAATTAGCCAGGCATGGTGGTGCACACCTGTAATCCCAGCTACTCGGGAGGCTGACGCAGGAGAATCACTTGAACCCAGGAGGTGGAGGTTGCAGTGAGCTGAGATCACGCCACTGCACTCCAGCCTGGGCAACAGAGTGAGACTCTGTCTCAAAAAAATAATAAAAAAAGATGGAGTCTTTAAGATTCTGAGGGAAAATTATTTTTAACTTCATATCATTTTTATATTTGCATAGAAATATACAAATTGTATTTACGTATAAATATATTATTATTTTTTTAGACAGGGTCACGTTCTGTCACCCAAGCTGGAGTGCAGTGGTGCCACAGCTCACTGTAGCCTCAACCTCCAGGGCTCAAGCAATCCTCCTACCTCAGCCTCTTGAGTAGCTGGGACTGCAGGTGGCCACCACCACACCCGGCTAAGTTTTAAAAAATGTTCTGTAGATATAAGGTCTCACTATGCTTCCCAGGCTGTTCTTAAAACTCCTGGGCTCAAGTGATCTGCCCACCTTAGCCTCTCAAAGCACTGGGATTACAGGCATGAGCCACCATGCCCGGCACCTTTTTTTTTTTTTTTTTTTTGAGACAAGATCTCATTCTGTTGCCCAGGCTGGAATGCAGGGCTCAATCATAGCTCACCACAGCCTCAAACTCCCGGACTCAAGTGTTCCTCCTGCCTTAGCCTCCAGACTAGCGAGGACTGCAGGCATGTGCCACCATGACCAGCTAATTTTTCTTTTAAAAAAAAAAAAAGTTTTGGCCAGGCGCGGTGGCTCACGCCTGTAATCCCAGCACTTTGGGAGGCCGAGGTGGGCGGATCACAAGGTCAGAATGGAACCATCCCCTGGCTACACCGTGAAACCTGTCTCTACTAAAAATACAAAAAATTAGCCAGGCGGCGGTGGGGGGTGCCTGTAGGCCAGCTACTCAGGAGGCTGAGGCAAGAGAATGGCGTGAACCCAGTGGGTGGAGCTTGCAGTGAGCAGAGATCATGCCACTGCACCCAGCCTGGCGACAGAGCGAGACTCCATCTCACAAAAACAAACAAACAAACAAAAGTTTTGTAGGCTGGCTGCAGTGGCTCATGCCTATAATCCCAGCACTTTGGGAGGCCAACCCAGGAGGATGACCTGAGCCCAGGAGTTTGAGACCAGCCTAGGCAACACAGGGAGACCTTGTCCCTATAAAAAAATTTAAAAAATTAGCTGAGCATGGTGGCACTCTGTGGTAGACCCTTGCTACTCAGGAAGCTGAGGCGAGAGGATTACTTCGGCCCAGGAGTTTGAGGCTGCAGTAAGCTATGCTTATGCCACTGCACTTCCAACCTGGATGACACAGTGAGGCCATGTGTCTTAAAATTTTTTTTTAATTTAGCAAATGGAGCGTATTTTTAAAATGTGGCAACAGGACAAACTGTTTTAGGAAAAACAAAATGTAAAAAGAAAATGCAATAATAATATACTGTTAAGTTCTGCAATAAACAATTTTACACACTCAGTAAACAGAAACACTGATTACTATTTAACCATAAAGTGTGATGTATACAGAGGGTGGGGGAAAGGGAGATAGAGGTTGTGTGAGAGCTAAACACTCATCTATGCCTATGGTAACAGGAAATTAATAGAAATGATTAATTTTAAAGAGGAAATATAAGGTAATCAGTCACATTTTTAAAAACATACATGAAGGCAAATACCAGAATATATAGCTAGTAAAAACTAAAGGTAGGGCGGTGGGCTGAATATTTTCTCTTAGAAGAGTCTTTTTTTTTTTTTTTTTTTGAGATGGAGTCTCGCTCTGTGGCCCAGGCTGGAGTGCAGTGGTCCGATCTAGGCTCACTGCAAACTCTGCCACCCGAGTTCACGCCATTCTCCTGCCTCAGCCTCCCAAGTAGCTGGGACTACAGGCACCCGCCACCACGCCCGGCTAATTTTTTGTATTTTTAGTCGAGATGGGGTTTCACATGTTAGCCAGGATGGTCTCGACCTCCTGACCTCGTGATCCGCCTGCCTCAGCCTCCCGAAGTGCTGGGATTACAGGCGTGAGCTACCGCGCCCAGCCTTCTCTTAGAAGACTTTTAATGCTCTCTGATCCCTGTCTCTGTTTTGATTTTTTAAAATAATTTTCTTGTAAAAAGTTACTAGGTACTTTCCTCACAACACTTCCCCTGCACTAGTGGGTGTGACATCAAAGCTGGGAATTGGCCTAGAGGACAGTGAAAACAATGACTCTGATGAGCCTTCTGCATCATCAAAGGCTGCTGTCCTCAGGGCCCCTCCATCATGTATGGGATGTGGGTCAACACCATTTGGACACTCTGAAGACCTGTCCTTCCTGAGTGTGGAGGAGAAGCTCAATGGGAACCAGAACCTCAGGTGAACCAGGTGTGTACAGGTCAACAGCCTGAAGCTGCCCAGGACCTCCCTTCCACCACCCAATCCCCCTTCAACCACCTTTGAATCTAGGTTCCCTACACATGTCTAGCACTTTCTTGAACTAACTTCTCAAAGGAATTTTTGGAAATTGGCATGATATAGGTAGAAACATAAATGGGAAATAAAAGCATAACTTCTTCACGCCCTGTTGAGACCCAGTTGGATCCCTGGTACTTGGCACACAGGAAGCACTCAGGAAGAAGCTGTTGGCTGAGTGTGGTGGCTCACGCCTGTAATCCCAGCACTCTGGGAGGCAGAGGCGGGTGGATCACCTGAGATCAAGAGTTCAAGACCAGCCTGGCCAACATGGTGAAACCCCGTCTCTACTAAAAATACAAGTCAGCCAGGCGTGGTGGCACGTGCCTGTAGTCCCAGCTACTCAGGAGGCTGAGGCAGGAGAACTGCTTGAACTTGGGAGGCAGAGGTTGCAGTGAGCTGAGATCGTGGCACTGCACTCCAGCCTGGGTGACAAGAGCGAGACTCCGTTTCAAAAAAAAAAAGGAAGTTCTTGAAGTCATAATTAGGCTCCCACTTTTCTCTGTGTCAGGCCCTTTACATGCACGACCACATTCAACCCTTACAACATGCTCACATAGTGAGCAGAGGATTAAATCCATTTTACAGATGAGGAAATGGGGGCTCAGAGTAACCTGACCAAGGTTACTTCACTACTAAGGGAGGAGCTGGGATTCAAACTCAGGTGTGGGTGACCTCACAGCCTGCACAACAAGCAGCTATCACCAGCAACCCTTTCTGAAAAGAGGTTTGGTTCAATAGGTGGATGGACGGAAGAATGCGAAGAAAGTAAGGAGGAGCTCAAAAACTAGCCCAAGAAGAGAACCTAAGAGACCCTCCCCCCTCAGAAGTTCGGAAGCTGCCGGCCACCAGCTGGAGAACCAGCTGCGAACACCTTCTACCCTTGCCCAAGGACCATCCGTGTGGCACCCACCTTCTTCAGAGAGGTTGTTCTCTTTGGTCTCCTTGTCCATCTGGCAGCACCAGCCTTCTAGTCGCTCCGTTTCTGCCTGCAGTAGCTTTAGGAACCAGTAGCCGTCTCGGCGGCAGGCCCCTGGCTGTGCTGGCTCTGCTGGGGAGCTGGAGGAGGTCTCAAGCCAGGGGTCGGGTGGGGGCAGCGAGGACGCCTCTAGGGCAGGGTCGCTGTTGTCTCCATAGGAGAGGTTGCGCTTGATCTGGGCAATCTTGGGGGCCTGCCGGGGACCGGCATCGATGCTGATGGAGTTGGGGTGAGGGGTACAGTCCGGGAGGCTCCTCTCAGATGACTTACAGCTTGAGTCATTGGCATCCTGGGTATCCGAGTCTGTGTCCCGTCGGGAGGACATACTGTGAGAGGGGACGCTGCTTCTGTGGGTAGGGGGTGGATGGGGTGGGGACAGGAAGGAGTGAGTCACCAAGAGGGCCAGAGACCAGAGGCCGCCTTGACCCGGACACACGGGAGACAGAGAAACGGATGCATCATCTGCTCACCATGCGCCTGAAGCGGGTCCCACAGCCCCCATCTCATTCTTGGCTCAGCCCTTGCCCCATCCCGCCCAAGCCCACACGCACACACACACGAGGACAAGGTCATAAGGTTGCCTGTTTACTGCAGTGGGGCCAGGAAGACCACCAGCATCAGGGCAGCTGAGGCCATGTCCCGGCCCAGCCGTGGCCCCCGTGGGTGACTGGTCTCACAGAGCAAGTGCTCATCTGTCCACCCGCCCGCCCCTGCCCAGCCTCCCATGCCTGGGCCACCACCCGCAACCCAAACCCAGCTTGGTTATTAGAAATCCAGCAAGGAGAAGTGGGTTAGGGAGAGCAGGAGAGGTGAGAGCGGAGGGAGGGAGAGGAGAGGGGAGAAGCAGCCGCCACCTCTGTCCGACTTACCGCCAGTCGTCCTCTACCTGAACCCCGATGGACTGGAATTTGGTAGCGGGACTGGGCTCCTCTTTTGGCACTGGCTGAATGCAGTCAACCTTATTGAAGGACAACGACAGCAACGGCACGGAGACAAAGACAAAAATAAAAAACAAACACCACACTTGCTGCTGAAATTCACATTAGTGGGACGACGCAAACGGACGTGTGGACAGACAGACACGAGGCATGCGGACACTGCACGTGGGCCCGAGGCCGGACCAGGTTAAGCCGGGCACTGCTCATTCGCGTGGAGGCGGGCGGGCAGGTGGATGGGAGGTGGGATGGGGTGGAGATGACTGGCTTTCCCTACTCTGAGGAGGGTGCCATCACATCGATCGCTTTGGGTCCGTTGTCCTCCGAGAGGTGGGAACCGTTCCTTCTAGTCCTCTCCTTCACACGCATCAGAGAGAAAAAAAAAGGACGACGAAAGAGAAAGAAAACACACACACACACAAAGCCACAGCCGTTATCTGGTGTAGTTGAAGCTGGCGGCTGTCTTGAGGCAAAGATCACTCCCCAAACCCTGTGGTGGAAGCCTGGAGGGCAGGCCAGAGGTGCCTGCACTAAGGGCAAACCCTGGACAGCAGTTCTAGATTCAGAAACTGCCACCCAGACAGGAGCCACTGAAGTTCCTGGGCATTATTCATACTTGGCTGAGGTTACCTTTAGCACTGGGTAGCCCTGGGGAGCAGTAGGAAGGACTGGGGTCAGGGCCAAGTGGAAAGCTGTCACTCCCTCCACTCCTGTGAAGTGGAAGGAACAGGACAACAGTGATGCCCCGCGCCTGCCTTTCTTCTCCGGGACAAAGGTGCTGGGCCACAGGGCAGCCAGGCCAGCCTTCCTATCATCACTCAAGAATGAGGGAGAACCCACACTCAGCCTAGGGCATGAGGCACCAAAGGGTTCAGGGCATCCTCAGAAACTGGGGACTCTTCAGTCTCTTGGCCTTGTGGAGAGAAGTAGGGGCCAGGGAAGCTTTCTGGGACAGGGATGCAGCCACATTTCCCCTCGGCAAAAGCCGGCTCAAGGAATGCAGCATCACCGGATCTCCAAGGAGCTGCAGTGAGAGCAAGAATGGGGCTGGGGTGAATCCAGGGAAAGGATGCCCAGGACAGGCCTAAGAGAGTCCTTATCCCAGTGTTATTTTCTGGGTGAAAGGAATCCAGGGTAGTCCTAACTCTTAGGCTTTCCGGGAAGATAAAAGCATCTGGTTTGGCCAAAAAGAGGGTGGGGCTGCCCAAAGATATGGGTGGTCAGGACCAAGGGTCAAAGATCAGGCTACTCTCTGTGTTTCTGAGAATCCCACCTGCAGGGCAGGGTCTGGACACCTAAGAAGCCCAGAAAACAGACAGCAGAGTCTCCTGGCCAACTCTCTCCCTGTTTGTATGTGGGGAAGCAGAAGCCTAGAGCTGCCTCTTGGAGGAAACAAGTCCAGGCAGCTGCAAGAAATTGCTCAGTAAGCCTTCTCTGTTCCATTCAAGCTCCAGTTTGTGTCCCACGCTCCTGCATTTCAGTGCTTTGTTATCAGCTGGGCCACATCCACTTGCTCAGGGGTGGCTGGAGGAGTCCCCTGCAGCCTGTGCCACAACACACAACGCCTCGTCCCCCCTGACTCACCCCCTGGGCTTGGAAGGGGCCTGTCTCCCTGCTCACCCTCACCCACTGTAGCTGCCCCTTCCTCACAGCTCTGAATGTGCCCTAGTTTGGTCTGCAGGTCCAGCCAGGGCAGGGAGAGTCCACTCAATCTGGATTTAGACAAACTCTTAAAAACTACGAGGCAGGGCCCAAGTTTCCCCAGCTCAGCAAACAAGACAGATTATTGATATCGGGTGCATGCAGGAGTGCAATGAAGCAGTGGAGGGGAAGCTGGCACACCTGCCCTGCTGTGTGCCACGACTATGGAGGGCCTGCTGACTTTGGCCACCTAGCCCTGGAGGAATCATCGCCTGGACCCTATCCCATGGAGGGAGGCATTGAGACCGGTATCACCTTTCTCAATGACATGAGCCTGGTCCCTCAAGCCACCTACCTGTCCCCAAGGCCCGAGAGGGCTCTGGGCAAAGTTCCCCTCGAGCAACCCCCATGGCTCAAGGGCCCTGGGTCCTGGGCCCCTGGCCCATCAGCGTCTATGCTCCATGCTGCTCCTGCCGCCAAGCGGGGCTATGGCCTCCGCACCCGAGCTGACCTTGGATTAGAGAACTGTTAGGCCAGTCCCGCCTCCCACGGGCCAGCTGGCAGGGCAAAGGGTGGAGTGGACAGACAGACAGTGGACAAACAGTGGACAGGAGATGGCTGGCTGAGTGTAACTACATTCACTGGGACAACCCACTGGAGAAGCAGAAACACATGCCCGCGGCTGCTGACCAGCGGCACGTGTGGGCAGACACCAGTGAGGCGTGGCTATGGGTGGAATTCGGTTTGCCCACTTGGGGCTGATCCCCCAAAATAGAGAGACAAACCACCTTTTCCCAGGAGACCTAGTGGGCCTCCACCAGATGTAATTACACGCAGGCAGGTGCACGGAGTGGGCTGAGGACACACAGTGCAAAAGGAGCCCCTACTTGTATTCCTATTGATGACAGTTTCCTTTTGGGGGCGGCCTCGGGGTGGGACTCAGAGCTGGTCAGCGTCCCTTGTTCACTTTTCAGAGATGCATGTTTTGGGGGTGGCTCTGGGGCTTCAGGGGCTGGGGCGACTCCACCGCGTGTCACGCTGGGCGGTCGGGTACTGCTGTCCAGGCTGTCTGATGAGTTGCTCAGGCCCGACTGGCTAGTCACCTCACTCTTGTGGTCCTGGCTGTCCAGGTAGGTGTCCTGGGCAGACTCAGTACTGCTCTGGACTGTGACTGAGATGAACGGCTTTGAAGTGGTGCGTGGAGGGACCGGTGGCGGGGTCTTCTTATACGCCACTAGGCATGATGAACCTGCAGATGGATGAGAGAAGGGCAGGGGAGAGGTGAGATGGTGAAGCCCCCAACCCTCTCAAGCCCCTTCCAGTGCAGAAGCCCTGCCTGACTTGGCCCTAGCTCTGGCCTTAGCCATTCTGTCCACAAGGATTTCTGGAGCAGGGAGAATGAGGGTCAAGATAGCAACAACCAAGACAGACACACACAGGCCCTACCCACCCTCATTCGAGAGAAAGTCTTGAGGGGATGCCACCACTGGCCAAAGATATCCCCCATGTCAGTCACACACAAACCTTATTATCCAGCAGGGGCATGTCCTAGGTGAAGTGCGTGGGGCCACAAGGCTCTGACAGACCCTGACCCGTGTCGTGGGGAGGTGGTGACAACTGAGCAGATGTCAAAACAGCTAAGGAATGGTTAACCTTGCTATCTTCAAGGTCACTGAGCGCCACAGTGCTCCCCTGGTCTTTTCCTTCCACACCACCTTCCCTCTCCCTTATTCCCTCTGCTTGGATGCCCCTCTCCATCTGGTCAAAAATGAACACATTCGGCCGGGCACGGTGCCTCACGCCTGTAATCCCAGCACTTTGGGAGGCCGAAGCAGGCAGATCACCTGAGGTCAGGAGTTTGAGACCAGCCTGACCAGCAGGGAGAAACCCCGTCTCTACTAAATATAGAAAATTAGCTGGGCGTGGTGGCACATGCCTGTAATTCCAGCTACTCGGAAGGCTGAGGCAGGAGAACTGCTTGAACCCAGGGGGCGAAGCTTGCAGTGAGCCGAGGTTGCGTCATTGCACTCTAGCCTGGGGAACAAGGGCGAAACTCCATCTCAAAACACACACACACACACACACACACACATCCTTCAGGGTCCAGCTAACCCCCTCCCCTATCTTGCCATTCCTGCCCCACCTCTTCCTCCTTATGGGAAACCCTGTACACTGGTCTGCCTCCCTGTTCTCCACTGAGATTCCCAGAGCCAGGCCCTGCCATGGTTAGGAACCTGAGCCATCTCTGAATCTCACCCCGATCCCAGCCAGGGGCTGACCCACAGCAGGGGCCCAAAACACCAAAGGCCCACTGCTTGCTTCTCAGACGATGAACTCTGTTGGCAATAGAAACTGCTTTTCCAACAGTAGCTACCTGCTAGGAGAGTGAGGTTGGATCTAGTGCCTTTCTCAGCACCTTAACTCCAGCTGCCTGTTGCCCTGTGAGAACTGAAACAAGCCCCTACCCTGGTCTGGGCCCACGAGCCAGATAAGCCCTGCCGTCAAGGGGCTACAATCACGGTGATGGTGACAACCCAGAAGAAACTCAAAAAACAAGGCCCAGTATCATAGGAGCTGTGGACAGAGGACTGCAGAAACCACCCATCTGCCACTATGAGATACTATCACATAACCTATCAGAATGGCTAAAAAGTGACAACATCAAATGTTATTGAGAATGTGGAGAAACAGTGATACTACTGTCATGGAAAACACATTGGCATTTTCTTATAAAACTAAACATGCAGCTAGGCTTGGTGGTGCACACCTGTAATCCCAGCTACTCGGGAGACTGAGGCAGAAGTTGCAGTGAGCCGAGATCATGCCATTGTACTCCAGCCTAGGCAATAAGAGCAAAACTACGTCTCAAAAAAAAAAAAAAGTTTTGGTAGAGATGGGGTCTCACTATGTTGCCCAGGTTAGTCTCAAATTCCTGGACTCAAGGGATCCTCCTGCCTCAGTCTCCCAAAATGCTGGGATTATAGGTGTGAGCCACTGTGCCTGGCCTATAACATTCTTGAAGTGACCTAATTATAGAGAACAGATTAGTAGTTGCCAGGGGCTAGGGCAGAGGAGGTCACTAGGGAGAGGGTGAAGGGGAGGGCAGGAGGGAAGTAGGTGTGGCTATAAAAGGGTAACAAGAGGGACCCTTGTATGAAGTGATAGAATAGTTCTGTATCGAGTGTGGGGATGGTTACATGAATGCATGCATGTGATAAAATTGCACAGCACTAACACACACACAAGTGAACACAAGTGGAACTAGGGAAATCTGAATAAGGTGGGTGGATTATATCTGTTGACATTCTGGATGTGAGAATGTATTACAGTTTTGCAAGATCTTACTATTGAGGGAAATTGAGTAAAGGGTACGAAGAACCCCTTTGTATTATTTTTACAACTGCATGTGAATCTACAATTGTCTAAAAATTAAAAATTTAATTTTTTTTTTTGAGATGGAGTCTCGTTCTGCCGCCCAGGCTGGAGTGCAGTGACCAGATCTCAGCTCACTGCAAGCTCCGCCTCCTGGGTTTATGCCATTCTCCTGCCTCAGCCTCCCGAGTAGCTGGGACTACAGGCGCCCGCCACCTCGCCCGGCTAGTTTTTTGTATTTTTTAGTAGAGACGGGGTTTCACCGTGTTAGCCAGGATGGTCTCGCTTTCCTGATCTCATGATCCGCCCGTCTCGGCCTCCCAAAGTGCTGGGATTACAGGCTTGAGCCACGGCGCCCAGCCTAAAAATTTAATTTAAAATAATCCATCTGTTCATCCAATAGACATCTATGGAACCAAGGCCTTGTACTGGATTCCAGGAAAGCCAGGAGCCCTCATCCGCAGAGAAACAGCTCTGCAGTGAGTTCTTTGAAAGTAACACATGCCACGATGTTAAGCCCAGGGAACTGGATGCTGTGCCTTGTGCCCAACCTAGTCCAGAGGCAGACAAAGTGCTCTGAGTTCCAAGCCAAGAGCACTCACTTCCTACTCATCTGTTCGAAATGTCCCAGTCCTGCTCAGGCCTTGAGAAAACTCAGGGATCCCCCAGACAGACACCTGCATCTCTGGTTACCAACCAAACAGCAGTGTGCAGGCAGAAGGACAGCCACCTCTCTGGGCCAGAAGAAAGGCAGCAGGGAGGCAGGAGGTAGGGCTCAGGTCAAAGGGAGTATGGCCCTCTAACACAACATCCTGCGAGAGGGGGGACAGGCCTGCTCAGCGAAGAGGAGCGCCTGCGTCCAGCTGGCCACAAGGCACAGGCTGCAGGCCAAAAGCTGGGTCATTTACTAAGCTGTGCTCAGCAGCTTTGCGGCTTTGTAATGTAAGCCTCAGTGCCTGTGAGGTAGAGATCATGATTATGCCCACTTTGCAGGTGGGGCGTGAAGCTCAGGAAGGTTGGACAACTTGCTCAGATTGCAGGAGTAAGCAGCAGCCGCATCTGCTCCAAGGCACAGCCACCTCACTCTGCTCTCCAGGCCTTGGGCCCCTCCTCGCTGGGCTGGGCTGCAGGTGTTTGGCGCCTTCACTCATCACCATACCCCTACAGCATCCTGCTGGGCCCTGGGACCAGTCTGCAGGGGTATACCAAACCAAAATCTGACTGTGGGAGTAGAAAGGGCCTTGACTGAGGCTGAGGCCTGGCTTCCAGGCTCCTGCTTGCCCTCTGGACTTCTCAGTACTCTCATCTGTTCCAGAAGCCAGGGTGGGAGGGATTCTCACTGGGTCACAGCATACTGTCTTCACACAGCCCTTGACAAACTCAAAGCACTGTCCCATTCATCCTCTCCCTCAAGGACGGGTGTGGAGCCTCCCATCACTGTGACTGCAGGGAAGATCCCCTCTGTGAATGCCCTCTCCACGGATGCCTGAAATTCTCTAATTTGAATCATTTTGGTGGTGGTAAGGGTCCAGAAGCCAGGGGGCAGTGTGGAACCAGACTAGCCTGAGTTCAGGTCCCAGCTCTGTCACTGACCTGTTGTATGGCCCCAGTTTCCTCCTTGTAAAAAGGGCATGATTACGTAGGTTGCATTGCAGAAGCTAAGGCTGGGCCAGGCCTAGGCTTGGCATGACTCCTCATTTCTGGTACAGGGCCTGTGGACAGGGTGGGGACAGGGGGCAAGCCAAATTTCTACTACTCCCCAGCCACTGGCAGGGAGTCTGGGCTGGTTCTCTGACTGGCCCAGGAACAATTTCCCCTAAGACCTGGACGTTCGTTTAGAGCAGTTCTTGAAATCTACGGCCACCAGTGCCCAGCAGAGAAAGGACTAACTCATTGAGGATTTCAGGAAAGGAATGGATTTGTTTGGCCTAAAGTCCCAAACAAATGGGTTTTTTTTGCCCTAGATCAGAAAACTGAAGCCAACCTCAATTTGCTCAAAATGTTTAAAGGGGTATATATCTCCCTTAGGAGGGCAGCAGTTAGTATGGGGGAGCAAGAACTGGGCATTAAGCCTAGCTTAGGCTGTGCGACACCAGAGTCCTTGTTCCCATCTGTGGGGTAGGGATGACACTGTCCATGAAGAGTGTGCATGCAGCATTCACGGGGGTCTGGTGGGGAAGAGGCACACCTTCTTCCCAATGGAAGACAACAGGACTGCCCACAGCCAGGGTCTGGACAAAGGATTAACCCTCCAGCCTCACTCTCAGAGCTGCTAGGCCCACAGTTCTACTAAGCACCCTCAGAAGGCCTGAGCTCTGGCCTAGGCAGCCAGTTATCAGAGGGAAAGGTGACCCAGCCAGAAAGCAAGTCCAGGCCTGATTCGATAAGAGGAAAGTGAGCTTATCTTGGATCCCCTATGTCTCCTGAGGCCACAGTAAGATAAGTGGTGTTGACTAGCATACAAGATTTGGGGGCTTCAGGGGCTCCCTGGGGGGCAGGCACCCCTCTGCTCTGAGTATTGCCCCCCTGGAGCAGGGAGATGGGACCTAACCTTGTACAGGAGAGCTCTCATTTCAAGTGTGTGAAAGCAGGAAATATAGTGAGGAAATACCTCGCCCCCACCTCTTCCAATACCTCACCCCGGCCACTTCCTCCCCTGCTGGGGCCTTCACACATACTATTCTTCTGCCTGGAAGGCTTTCCTCAGCTACTCACAAGTTTCAGAATTTCTTCCTCTGAGAGCCTCCCCTGACTGCCCTCTCTTTTTCCACCTGGGAATCTCCATCAGAGCACTGACCACATCAGTCCATGGGCTTGGAGGAGTCACCTGACAGCTACAGGCCTGGGGCAATTGAGGGAACTCTGTCCTGCCAAATC